ACACGAGGCGTGGGGGCCGGGGAGGGGCCCCTGACTCTTCATGGGGGCCCCGGGCCGCCAGGGACGCCCCCAGACGGCCCAAGACAGCCCCAACACATATGAAAAGGGCCGCGAGAGGCCTCCAAGAGGCCTCCAGTCGCGGAAATATTGCTCTAACGCGCCCAAGATTGCCTCCGGATGGCTCACAAGCCTTCAACACGGCCCACGGGGGCCTCAAGAGCACCCCAAAAGGGCACCATGAAGCCAAAATCATTGATATTCTTTGGGTGTTTGGTGCGTTTGAGCGTTTTTGCCTGTTCAGCTTGCCGACGCTCCAAGACGGTCCGGGACAAAATTATCCAAACAGGCTTCCACGAGGGCGCCGAGACGGCCCAGGGCCGCTCCCAGACGGTCCAAGACAGCCCCAACACATATGAAAAGGGCTGCAAGAGGCCTCCAAGAGGGCTCGAATCGCGGACATCTCGAACGCGCCCAAGATGGCCTCCAGATGGCCCAGAAGGTTTCCAACACGGCCTAAGGGGTCTCCAAGAGCACGCTTCCAAGGGCCCCAAGAGGCCCAAATCATGTATTTTCCTTAGGTTTGGGATGGACTTCAGCAATTCTGCCTGTTCAGCGTCCCGACGCTCCGAAACGGTCGCGGACACCCGAATATCGCCCCGACAGGCCCCCACGAGGGCGCCGAGACGGCCCAGGGACGCCCCCAGACGGCCCAAGACAGCCCCATAAAACATGAAAACAACCCCGAGAGACCTCCAAGAGGGCTACAGTCGTGGAAATATAGTTTTAGCACGCCGAAGATGGCTTCCAGATGCCCCGAAAGGCTTCCAACACGGCCACAGGGGTTTCCACAGCACTCCCAAAAGAGCCCCCCAAAGGAACGACATTTTAACGATTCTGCTTGTTCCGCTTCCCGACGCTCCAAGACGGTCTGGGATACCCGAATATAGTCCAACCGGGCTCCCACGAGGGCGCCGAGACGGCCCAGGGCCGCCTCCAGACGGCCCACGATAGCCCAAAAACATATGAAAAGAGCCTCGAGAGGCCTCCAAGAGGGCTCGAATCGTGGACATATCGCTCGAACACGCCCAAGATGGCCTGCAGATGGCCCAAAACGGCATTTCTTTCTGTTCAGCGTCCCGACGCTCCGAAACGGTCCTGGACACCCACGTATCGCCCCAACGGGCCCCCACGAGGGCGCCGAGACGGCCCAGGGACGATTTGCCGCGGGTACGAGGCGGGGCCCGGGACGGGGCCCTCGGACTGGGGGGACCGGGGGCCTCGGGGGTCCTGCCGTGGCGCTGGGGGCTTTTTGAGATCGCCTGAAGACGGCACCAGAAAACCCCAGAATTCGCCCCTGGCTGTCCAAGAGGACTCCGAGATGCCCCAAGAGGCCTCCAAGATGCCTCCCCAGGAGGCACCACTCGTTTTTGTTCATTGGGTTCTGAAGGATTCTCGAGTACTCACCTTTTCTGACGTTCCACGGCGGCCCAAGAGGCCCCAATGTCCGCTCCAAGACAGCCCCAGAGGCCTCGAAGACTGCCACAAGAGACTGCCACAAGACAGCCCAAGAGGGCCCCAAGGCAGCGCCAGAGGGGCCCAAGACGGCCCGAGAGGGCCTCAACACGGCCCAAACAAAGAAGGAGCCAAAAGAGGGGTGACACGAGCCGAAAATCTGAACCCTCCACCCCGAGAGGCTCTCAGGAGGCCCCGAGAAGCCCCCAACAGGCTCCAAGAGGTCGCAAGAAGCGCCCCAGTGGGCCGAAGAGGCTCCAAGAGGCCTCCCACGAAGGCCCCACGAAGGCCTCCCAGAGAGGCCTCCTCTACCCACCGGTTTTTGACTTAATTCAGAGTTTTCAACCTTTTGGCGTCCCGACGCTCCAAGACGGTCCAAAAGGTCTCCAAAACCGTTCCAAATTAGCCCAAAAGGCTTCCAACAGGGCCCCAAGACGGCCCACGAGGGCCCCAAGAAGGTGCCTGAGGCGCCCAAGACGGCCCGAGAGGGTACCAAACCATCCCCAGGAGGGGCCCAAGAGGGGTAAGACGAATCGAAAATCCGAGCCTTCCTCCCCTAGAGGCTCTCAGGAAGCCCAAGAGGTCCCCAATAGGATCCAAGAGGCCCTCAAGAAGCTCGCCAGATGGCTGAAGAGCTTCCAAGAGGCCTCCCAAGAAGGCCTGAAGAGGCACAACTCATTGTTTTCCCGTCGGCTTTTGATGGACAGAGTTTTCAGCCTTTTGGCATCCCGACGCTCCAAGACGGCCCAAGATGACCCCAAGACCGCTTCAAGACAGCCGACAAGAGGGCCCCAAGACGGCCTACAAGGGCCCCCAAGACGGTGCCTGAGGCGCTCAAGACGGCCCGAGAGGGCCCCAAGACGGCCCTCAGAGAGGCCTAAGAAGGGGAACGCGAACCCAACTGCAGAGCCTTCCGCCCTGAGGGGCCCACAGGAGGCCCCAAGAGTCCCCAAGTGGTCCGACGAGGCCCCCAAAAGCCTCCTGAGAGGCCGCAAAAGGCCTTTAGGAAACGTGCAAGGGGCCCAAAGATTGCCGAACAGTGCCCTCGGTGCATCAAAGCTGCTTCCAGGAGGCCTCGAGAGGCGTCCGTATTGCCTCAATGCGGCCCCAGGTGGCCTCAAGTCGGGCCTTCACGCAGCCAAGACGGCCAATGACGGCTTCAGATTGCAGAACATCACTTTCCGATTGCCCGGAGAACCCCGACGATGCCCCGACCCCAAGAATCCCCAAGACGCCCCCCAAGAAACACCCAAGAGGTGCCTCCAACAGCCAATTGAGGAAGCACGGAGAACCCCCCAGAAGCCCTTCACATGCCTCCACGAAGACCCAAGAGATTCCCAAGAGGCCCTCGGGAGGCGCGACGGGAGGCACGACAATGTCACGCGCCTGTGCTTGATAGCGCTGTCCAAGATCTTCCAGCGACCCCCGTCCTGTGCTAGAACCTGAGCGCACGCGAAGCATATACATATATATATATATATATATATATATGGATTCCCTTTTCTAAATTTTTGTAATTCCGGGGGTGCGGACCCCCCCCCGAAACGGACCCCCCCGGATCCGTGCCACGGGGGCGGCCGAGAATCCTTTCCAAGGCGTGCACGCAGGCGGGCGGCAGTGCCAAATCGGTCGGCGCAAGCCCACAGAGACACCCAAGACAGTCCAGGATAGCACCCAGGTAGCCTTGACGACCCTCCGCGAGAGCCCCAAGACCGTTCTCAAAGGGGGCCACAGAGACCAAAATCATTGAATTTCCATTGGTTTTTCAATGTTTTTAGCGTCCTCGCTTTTTCTGGTTTCCGACGCTCCCGGACCGCCCAGGAAGCTCCCCAAACCGCTCCAAGACGGCCCAAGAAGCTCCCAGAGCGCGCTGAGAGCGCCCCAAGACGGTCCAAGACGCGCCCGAGATGGCCCACGAACGCTCCAAGACGGCCCAAAAAGGGGCCCCAGGGGGGACCACGAACTGAAAATACGAGCCTCCCGCCCCGAGCAGGCCCAAGGAGGCCCCAAGAGAGCTCCACAGGGCCTCGACAAGCCCCCTAAGTCGCTCCAGTGAGGCTCCAAAAACATTCCAAATTGTTACTTTTCCATTGGTTTTTCAATGTTTTCAGCGTCCTCGCTTTTTCGGGTGTCCGACGCTCCACGATCGCCTAAGAAGCTCCCAAAACCGCCCCACAACAGCCCAAGAGGCTCCCAGAGCGCTCTGAGAGAGCCCCAAGACGGCCCAAGACGCGTCCGAGATGGCCCACGAACGTTCCAAGATGGCCCAAAGAGGAGCCCTAGGGGGGAGCCCTAGGGGGGACCACGATCTGAAAATACGAGCCTTCCGCCCCGAAAGAGCCCAAGGAAGTCCCAAGAGAGCTCCAAAGGGCCTCGGGAGGCCCCCTAAGACGTTTCGGTGAGGCTCCAAAAACATTCAAAAATGTTACGTTCCCATTGGTTTTTCAATGTTTTCAGCGTCCTCGCTTTTTCGGGTGTCCCACGTTCCAAGACCGCCCAAGAAACCCCCAAAACCGCTCCACAACGGCCCAAGGGGCTCCCAGAGCGTCCTGAAAAGCCCCAAGACGGTCCAAAACGCGACCCAAGACGGTCCAAGACGGCCCACGAACGCTCCGAGATGGCCCAAAGAAGGGCCCCAGGGAGGACCAGATAACTGAAAATACGAGCCTCCCGCCCCGAAAGGGCCCAAGGAGGCCCCAAGAGAGCTCCAAAGAGCTTCGGGAGGCTCCCTGGGAAGCTCCGGCGAAGCTCCAAAAAGCTTCAAAATCGTTAATTCTCCATTGGCTTAAGCGGAGGAGGAGAAGGAGGAGGAGGAGGAGGAGAAGAAGGCAGAGAAAGACGGAGAACGAGGAGGAGGAGGAGGAGGAGGAAGAGGATGAGGAGGAGGAGGAGGAGGAGGAGGAGGAGGAGGAGGGGAAGGAGGAGGAGGAGGAGGAGGAGGACGATGCCACAATCCCGGGTTCGCAACCATTTTGCTGGAAATTCCGTTGGCCCGTCAAACCCGCCGCCCTCGAAATCGCACCACTTCGCCGCCCCGCGCCCCCTTCAGCCGATATTCCCTGAAGAATAGCCGCATTATGCTCATAATCCCGGGTTCGCAACCAATTTTCCGGAAATTCGGTTGCGAACCCGGGTTTGCCAGTTGATGCGCCATTCCATGCGCCCGCGGCCTCCATTTCGCAGTTTTGGCCCGTCCCAGGTTGAGTGCCCCCCTTTCTGCTCTTCCTGCGCTTCTCCGAAGTACGAACCAGCGGACCGCGGCTTAAATGGAAAAAGGGATGGCACCACGGGCCAACCATTCCAAAGCTTCAAGGAACAAGGTGCATGGCGCTAAGCGCCAATGCAGCCTTGTGTATGTATACATATATATGTATATATATATATATATACACATGTGTGTGTATCCGCTCTCTGTCTCTCTCTCTCTCTCTCCCTCTCATTCCCTCGCCGCCCGCCCGCCCCCCTCCCCCCCCCCCCCGCGTCTTCAGGAGCTGGTGAGCGCAAGCCTCAAGGAGGGCAGGCTCCACCAGGACGATGCGCTGGCGACCCTGACGCAGCGGGTGGAGACAGACCTAGTGCGGTCGCGACAGGATCGGGGGAGAAAATCCACCCCGACACGTACGGATGGCGTCTACTAGATAGTCCAGGGCGTTTTCTAAACAGTCCTGCACCGTTCGATTCTTGCTTGAGATCAGTTCATTAACGGCCGTCGCTTGCAGGGGTGTTCGGGGGGTCGTTCTTCGGGGGGATTTTTTTTTCTGTTTCCAGCCATTGGCTCAACCTGTTACTAACTCTCTGCTGTAACTCTGTCGGTCTCTCTTGACCGCACAGCTGGTACTTCACCTTTCTGAAGCCTGGTCAGGGCCCGTCTCCCATGAACTGTTGGTCGGCCCTGGCAGGGGAGAATAAGGTTCCTCGCTCCTTTCTGGGCATAGAACCCCATTTCAAACAGATCAGAGTCCCATATCTCTGATGGACTCCGATAGCGTGTGATACATGCAGCTCACGGCCGTTAAAGACCTGCCTTCCCACTGGCGAGAGCACCACGTCTCTCATTAAACTCTTCACGCAGGGAGTGTCGAGGAAACGATTCAACTCTGTCTTCGGCGCGGATCCTCCACACTCCGTGCACCTCACTCTGGAGCCTAAGATGTGTGCACCATTGTGCTCCGTGATCTGGATACTGCGAGCTTCTCTTTCTTTCCTTTCAGACAGGGCTCTCCTACTGGGCTGATGCCTGGGCACTGTCTCAATCACATTCTCCAGGATTTTGGCTAAATGTTTCCTGACCGAAAAACCTACAGCCGTCGCCATTTCCACCCTGCACCTGTCGGCAAACGAAACTCTGAACTCCTCTGCAAGTCTGCTCGCTGCGGTATCCGCGATAGCGTTGACAAAAAGGGTGGCGGGATCGACTCTCTGCTCAAGCGCATCCTCTGCACTAAGGTGGCTCTCCACCTTCAGCACGCGAATCCCTCTGCTTGGTGCTGTGCCAGCGTCTCTCCAAGACGCCGCCAGGCATCCACATGTGTGTCAGGAAACTTGCCTACTCTTAGCTTCTCGACTCCCCGCATGACATACTCGGAGTCCGTCACATAAATGGCGTGCGCCAGCGGAAGGACTGCAGTTGCAAACTCCAGTAACGCCGTGGCTTCACCACGATTCACTGTCTGAAAAAAAGCCTGGCAGATTCCCTCCCTGCAAGTGCCCCAACCTCAACTCCCCCACGTCGTAACTCCCGTCCTCACGGAATCCGCCTAGGGTAGCAACGGCCCAGGCCACTCGGCGCAGCTTGGGATCTTGATCTTTCCCTCCGCTGGCGTCTCCTCCTCCAAAGATGACGCCTGGTTCGCCAAAAACTTGGTGGATTGACCTACCAAAAACATAGCTGATGTCCTCGTCTGTCGGCTCTGGGACACATGTCCACGTGGATGGCACCAATCCTCGAATCCACATGCTGGGCATACTATCCGACTCTATCCGCGCTTTGGCAATTATGCTGCTGGAAATCGTCTGAAACTTTTGATTTGCTGGGCATTCCCAGCATCGATGCTTGTCTGTTTCTGGAGCCTGCCCGCAGCGAGGGCACACGGAGTCAGGCTCCAGGCCATTATCAAAAAGTCTTTGCCTACACCATGTTGCCCCTGTCATGACGCACTGCAGAAGTCCCTTCCGCTTAACACCGCTACGCTTTAAAGCCATGCGGCATTGTCGTCGGGGGCCTTTCATGTCGGGCACAAGCTGCAACCCTTCCCCCATCCAGGAGTTCTTGGCAGCCTTCGCCCAGAGTCTCCTACCGATACTGTCAGCTATGCATGCATACAGAATGTGCGACTTGTCGAGAGGGCCTCTCCCGATCATCTCCTCTGGGGCCTCGAAGGTCTCTCCGATGTCGCGGTGCCATCTCCATGGCCCTTCTGGATTCCAACCGAGATCGAGCATGGTACAGATCGTGGCTGCCATGGGTGAGCACACTCGCCTCCAGCGTTGCCTGGGGGCCTTGCTGCTTAAATTGGCTAGCGCTCTGCCCCAGCCCCGCTGCACACGCTCTACATTCACTCTCAAATCACTTAGAATGGAGAACCACATCTTGACTACATCAAAAACTGCTGTGTATGCTGGATCCTGCGTACCGTATTCTAGCGCTAGGAGGGTCGTCAAGCAACGGCCGTGTTTTTTTTTTCCCGCTTGACAGGTCGGCCATTGCTCGCCTCCAGCGCTGCGCTAGGCTGGGAGCTGTCCCGTACACCTGATCCGAGTAACGCGATTGAGCGAAAGCCGAGACCGAAATCTCGAGAGTTTGCGGATCTTAAAACTTGCTGGAACTCGTCTCGCTGCCTGCTTGGGTCTACGTTTCGCTATCCTGCCTCGATCCAATCCTAAATCTGGCGCATTCGGTTTCACCTGGATGCTGATGTTGGCTGCTGCAAAGCGCTGGGCCAGTTCACGAGCCGCCCGGGGACACGATGAGATGATGCACGATTTATCTGCCGTCGCCAGCTGACTGCATGTAGACCATTAACCAGCTGTTGCCCTGCCTTGAAAAGCGTGTCCACTAGCATCTGCCTTGGTGCCTCACATCGTTGCACGATGTCGTCTACCCAGGTGCGGAGACTTGGCGTTGGAGGAGGGCATCTGGCCACTTCCTCACAAATGAAATAGAGCGCACACCTGCCTAGGTCTACAGCCCCTGTCGAGCCTGGAATGAGAGACATACTGGGTTGAACCGCCTCAGAGAAACATCCTTCCTCCCTCAAAAAACGCGGCGACATGTGCATCTGAAGTTCTAGCGCTAGATAAATTGCTGGGAAGCCTAACGCAAGCGCCTTCGAGAGCACAAGCTCCCACGACAGGGAGTCGTAGAAGCCTTGTGCGTCCCGCAGCAGGCTTGCGTGCACGAGATCTGGTATGACTGACTGTTCTGCAAGCTCGTCTTGAAATGCTCTCCACGCAGCAACCCTGAGCGCCGATGACCCAGCAACAGCTACGCCCCAATGACCTGCTCGCCTCTTGCACCACTCAGCTCGCTCAAAATGCCTGAGCCTGCCCCACAGGCGTGGAAGCCACGGCAGTAAGCCGATTGCTCTGTCAGCCTCGCGATTCTTGACTTGCAACATGACTAGGGCCGCCATGAGCTGCCATGGCCAGCAAGCTCTCGCCTCAATGGCGTTATACAGGTCTGTCAACTGCTGAATGGCTGCTGGCGGTAGAAAGGCAAAATCTTTTTTGTTACGCCGGTCTATCCCGTTGGCTCGACTTGGCACTCTGGCGATAATTTTCTGGACATGATCTGGCTCTAGTGGCGGGAGTGGGTTCTGGATAGCCTGCCTCTGCGCTTCTCGCCATAAAAGAACAGCCTCTGATGTGCACGCGCGCCCAGCCCCCCACTGGGCGCCCCGCGCCCCCTCTTTGAGTCCGATTCGGCTGATGGCGTCTGGCGCAGAGGCGGCTCCTGAACGAACCTCCCCCACAAAAACATTAGTTGGCTTGATCATGTTGCACAGCCCCTTGCCTCCAGCAAGAGCCTGCTTCAGCACCCATTCTTTGAAACTCTGCTGATTCATGTACTGCAACGTTCTGTGAGCACGGGTTGCGTTATGCCTCGCCTTAAAACTGAAATCTGCTATTTCTCTATCTGAGGCCTTGTCCGAGTGCCCCAGCCCTTCCTTCCAGATACCCCAGAGGCGAGACGAGAGAGGCATGAGGGGCGAGGTGGAAAGCTGGCTGGCTAGCTCTCGGACTCTGTCCAAAAGAGACTCAAAGCGCGTACCTTTTTTTTGTTTCGGCAGGCAACTGACTATCTCTTCTAAGGGGGGCGCGACTGTGGCCCACCAATGGGCAACTGGATCTGATGTTGAGATGAACGTCGCTCCTTGTGCCTCGGGCTTGAAAACTAGTGTTCTAGCCTTGCCCCGCCCGCGGTAGTCGTTCCGCTTGTGCGGTGGCACGGCGTGTGCGAGGATGAAAAACTCTTCCATGCGCGAAACCCATCGGGCGTACTCCACACTTCCCGTGAGGGAAGCCTCCCGATCTAACTGGAACGAAAGCGACTGCTCGATGTACTCTGGAGGCTGCAAATTACTCGTGGCATGGGGGCCTAGCTGCCTCCCGTGCCATAGCTGATCCAACTGGGCTGCAGACAACTGATGGAGCAGGTGATTGAACCCCGTCGCCTCTGGCTGCTCAGGGCTCGCCTGGGACTCAACTGCGCCCCCCTCCTCACCTCCGTCCGACCAGCCGTCACCGCCCCCGAAATCCTCCCCCTCCAAATCGTCTGGGCAGAGATACTCGAGCGTCGGCGGACTCTTGAAAGTAATATTTGTCCTTGGTTGCCTCTGCTGCGCGGGGGCGTCGTCACTCCCTGCGCCTCTCTTCTGCGATGTCGCGGCTGCTCGCCTCGAGCGCTTGCTGTCTGGGTTCTTACCCCGCTTCATTGGCGGCGGTTGCTGGGACGGTCTAGGCAAGCTCAGAACTCTGCGCAACGCCCCTGTCATGCATAGTCTCAGGCGGACGATCGGGCCGTAGTGGCTCTTGCCCGCCCCCGCGATGGGCTCCGCATCTGCCACAACCTCACTTATGAGGTGTTTTGCTGACGCTGGACATACTAAAAAATCAAGCATGCGACAAGGCGAGACAGTACATGTATACTCTACATTGCTGGCTACTCGGATGTCTCCTGCTGCTAAATGAGGCCATCCGCTGACCTGGAGCTCCTCTGGCTCACAGTTCCAGTCGCCTATGACAAGCCACGGTGTGCGAAGGGACTGCAGCAAGGAGCCCAGGCTGGCGAGTTTGCGGGTGTTCTCGCCTCGCAAGCCCACTCCTGTGGTAAGATAGATGCCAAAGATGCTAAACGCCTGTCCTGTTACTTTCGTCTGGAAGCCTACAACGTCGTGAAAATCTACGCCGCTGGCGACAGGCTGCTGTCCCTTCTGAAGATCTCGCATGCCCAGCGTGGCGTTGGGCTCACTCGAGAGATGGCGAAACGATTCGAACTGTAAAACCTTTCTGCAGCCTGCGGAAACTCCGCCTGGCCTCATACTGTTCTCCGATGCGCGGCTCGGAGTCAAAACTGGCTTGTAACCTGCTCGCGCCCACACTTCTAAATGCTCATCTGCCTCCTCTGGACGCGTGTGAACTTCTGGCAGGACGTAGAAGTCATGCTCGCGCGTCTGCAGGAGGTGCTTGGCTGTGGGTCCACACCTGGACAGGTTCCTCATGTACCGCGTGTAGTCCCGACTCTGAGCCTCGCTGCCGTCAAAGCGACTGCTGGACTCTCTGCCGCGCCCGCTGGATCTCTGCGTCCACCTCCTGCTGCAGGGCCTCCTTCTTGTCGGCCACCACTGGAGCGCTCTCGGCTCCAGCTGCTCTGGGCGGCTCGACACTGGCTGGGGCACCGCTCGGCCCTCCCGCGCCTGCAGGCTGCCGGTCGCCTGGGGCGGGGGCCTGGCTGCCCACATGCTGCTGAGGAGGGCCACGAGGAGGCGCAAAAACCCCAGCACTGGGTTGCTCCTCGGTCTTCCTCTTCTTCGTCCCGCGCGCGGCCACCTCGGCCATCTCCTTCTGGATGTTCTCAAGGTCGGCGGTGAGGCCTCCCATCGCTTCCCTGATCGCCTTCTGGAGCAACGTGTTGACGGCCCCTGACCGCTCCTCCACGATCTTGCGATCAGCCTCCTGGGGTTCCAACCCGTCGAGCAACTTTCCGAACGAGAACTGTAGCTTGATGCCGTCGCGGATGGCCGTGCCGACGTCGATGACTGGGCTCTGCTCATCGTCCTCTTTGTCGGGCAGGACGCGGCGGGCCGCCTCCACCTCATCCTGCTCCGCTGCCACCAGCTCCTCTGTGGCCCTCTCCAGAGCCGTCTGCGCCTCATGGTACTCGTCCTTCGTGCGAATCCAGCGCTGGCGGGCCTTCTCCAGCGCCTTCGTGGCCTTGCCCACTCGTGTATTGGCCCGCTGCAAGAGCGCCGCTGGGCGCTCTGGTGGCGGGGCAGGCTGCTTCGGCGCCAGCAGCTGCAGCAGCTCCTCCGCCTTGCGGCTGGTGTGTGGGTCCTTGTCCTCGCCAGCCATGGCTCGGAGCGCAACTTCGAGGTAAGATGCCTGCGAGCGCCCCGATGCGCCTCCTGCCCCGCTGCCGTGCTGGTGGTGCCGCCCCGTCCCCCAGGCACTGGGGCTCCCCAGCCACGCACCGCACAGGCAGGTGCCGTTGGCAGCCTGCAGCCTGTCCTCGTACAGGTAGCGAGGGCATTTCGTACATAACACCTTCTTCCTGAATGGCTGGCGCCGACCCCAGGAGCTCGTGAGCCTCCATGGAGCTGTGCGCTGCTGCTGCACCCACGGCTGGCGACGATACTGCTCATCCGCCATGGCACGCGGGCGCCGTGTATGGAATGACGCCGAAAAGAAGTCGTTGTTCGGGGGGATCAGTCGTCGGGGATCGATATTCATGGACCGATCTCTGGGTGATCGGTAACCGCCGCTTGGGGGATCGATCTTCGGGAATCTCGGCAGGCGTTGGATATGTAAAGGTATATACCTTCAGACTTGCACGTGCACGTGCATGTGACTACTTGTTAATCCATATGCATGCATGTATGTAAGTGTGTAAATAACTATGTGTGTACGTATGTATGCATGCATGTATATATCTATATATGTATGCATGTGTGTTTGTATGTATGCCTACATGCATCAGCGCATGCATGCATGAATGTATGCATGGTTGCGTGTAAGGGGGTGCATGCATACATGTATGCATGTATGTACGTATACATGTATATTCGTATATGTGTACGTGTACATGTATACATGTATGTATGTATGTATGTATGTGTGTATATGTGTATCTACGTATGCATGTATGTACGTATATACGTATTTGCGCATGTACGAAAATATGTATGTATGCATACGCGTTTGTAAGTACGTATGTATGTATGTATGTATGCACGTATGTATGTGTGTATGTATGCACGAACTGTATGTATGTATGTATGTATGTATGTATGTATGTATGTATGTATGTGTGTCTGTATGTATGGATGTACGAATATATGTATGCATGTATGCATGTATATAAATATAGGTACGTCTGTATGCATGCATGCATGCATGCATATCTGTCTGTCTGTCTGTCTGTCTGTATGTATGTATGTATGCATACATGCATGCATGCATGCATGCATGCATGCATGTATGTATGTATGTATGTATGTATGTATGAGAGATAGGTAGGGAAAGAGAGAGAGAGAGAGAGAGCGTTTCATGGGCGCTTGCCTTGGGAACATTCGGCGGCGCGTTTCGAACCAGGGGGTGAGCCACCCCCCGCAACACCCCAACACTCGGCGCCGTCGATCAACACCAGGGGGACTCCCCTCCCCCCCAAACCCCCCCCCTCCCAAACCCCCCCTCCCCTCCCACGAGGGGAAGGGGGTTCAAACCCTCCCCCCCTTGGCGCCGGCGCCGGCGCTGGCGGCCGCCAGCAGCGCCGCGGGCGGGGACGCAGCGACGATGACCAGAGGCAGCCCAAGGGGAGGGGGGGGGTTCAAAACCTCTTCCCCCCCACTTGGCGCCGGCGTCGGCGCCGTCGCTGGCGGCGGCCAGCAGCGCCGGCGCTGGCACCGGCCATGGCGGGGACGCAGCGATGATCACCACCACTGCCACCACCACCACACCCACCACCACCACAGCCTCAACCCACCACCACCACCACCACCAACCCACCACACAACCACCACTACCATCACAGCCACCACCACCACAACCACCACCACCACCACCACCAACACCACCACCACCACCACCACCACCACCACCAACACTCACCATCACCACCACCACCAATAAAAAATCTCACCACCACTACCACCACCACCACAATCTACCACACCACCACCACTGCCACCACCACCACCACTACCAGCAGCACAAGCCACCACCACCACCACCGCAAACCACCACCACCACCACCACCGCCACCACCACCACCAGCACCACCTCAACAAACCACCGCCACCACCACAACCCACCATCACCACCACAAACACCACACTACCACCAAACCACCACCACCACCACCACCACACCACCACCGCCACCACCACCACCACCACCACCACCACCTCCACAACCCACCACCGCCACCACCACCACCGCCACAAACCACCACCACACCACCACACCACCACCAAACCACCACCACCACCACCACCACCTCCACCACCACCACCACCACCACCACCACCCACCAGCACAACCACCACCACCACAATAAACCACCACACCATCACCACAACCACCACAACCGCCACCACCATCACCACAACCCACCACCACCGCCACCGTCGTCCTCGTCGACGCTCCCCGCCGCCGCCGCTCGCCGACGCAGGCGCCAGCCCGAGGAGAGGGAGAGAGGAGAAGAAGGGGGGGGGCGGGGGGGGGGTTCGAACCTTCCCCCTCTGTCACGGGAGGGGGGTTGGAGGAGGGGGGGGGGGTTCGAACCCCCCCACCTCCATCCAGGGGCGGGGTGTCCGTCTCCACCCCCCCCTCCAAGCGACCACAGAACGCGCTTTTTCGTATTTATGTATGTATGTTTGTATGTATGTATGTATGTATGTATGTATGTATGTATGTATGTATGCATGTGCACGCCGCATGTATGTGTGTATGTACGTATGTATGCATATATACACATATTACACATGTAGACCCCAACAGTGCTTATACTTATGGGTTGTTATTTGTGTTCGAAGGAACCGGGCTGGTGTGCCATTCTGGCGGCTGTGAAGCCGCCGTCGCCGCCCCGTCGCCGCCTCGTCTCGGCCCGCCGTCTGCGCTGGTGTGCTGGTCTGGCGGCTATGTAGCCGCCGTCGCCGCACTGTCGCCGCCTGGTCGCCGCCCGGCGTCTAGGCTGGGGTTCCGCTCTGGCGGCTATGTAGCCGCCGTCGCCGCTCCGTCGTCGCCTCGTTGCCGCCCCACCGCCGCCTAGATCGTCTGGTCCTGTCTGGCGCTCTGGCCGCCATGTCGCCGCCCCGTCGCCGCCTAGATTGCACAACGTAGATTGCACCACGTAGATTGCAATGCATAGATTGCACCACATAGGTTGCACAACATAGATTCAACACACATGATGCACAACGTCGATTGCACCACATTTCTGGCATCAGCGCACCAGATAGGTTGCACCACAAATATTACCCCACATATATTGCATCACGCACGAATCGCGTGAGCACCGCATGGGGTGCATAGTACAGACTGCACCCCATACGTTGAGCACCGTATAGATGGCATTGCATAATTTGCACCACATCCATTGCAAAACCTATTGCACCCTATATACTGCACCACAGCGAATTTGGATATCACAATCGATTTTCTCAATCGATCGATATCACCATCCATCGATCTCACAGCCGATTTCACCATCGATCTCACGATCGATTTTTCGATCGATCGTATTACCGATCCCACTATCGATTTTACAATCGACCTCATGGGACACCATGAGACACCACGGAACACACCAGGACACCACGAGACACCACGGGACACCCCGCCACGGGACACCTTTGGACACCACGGGACACCACGGGACACCGCGCCGCAGGACGCCACGGGACACCGGCGGAACACCCCCCGAGCCACCGCAGGCTAGCCTGCGGGGGGGAATCGTTGAGCCCGATTTCGCCCTGGCAACGGCGGTTTCATTTTTCTCGCCCGCCCACGCAGCTTCGGCTTGCCCGCCCGTGCAACACGAGCCTGAAACCGAAACCGATGTTTCCCAGTGGGGGGCTCTCCGTTTGAATGCGGTCTCACGCCCGATCCGCACCTAGCGGGGTATTTCGGCCAGCGGGAACAAGACCGTACGGTAGTACCAGCAGGGACAGGGATCGGTTAAACGACGCACAGGCTCACCGAGCACGTCGACGTCCTCGGGGTCCTCCGATACTATGTCCATGTCCACTGCCCGCCGAGGCCCCCGAAAATCGATCCTACCAGGCGGTGGTGACGGGAGCTGAGCAGTCCCCGAGCCTCGCGCAGGAGCAGGGCTCGTGCCGATTCCTCCGATTCGATTCGATGTGATTTCGATGGCTTCCGATTCCGATTCGACTGGACCTGGGACTCCGATCTGGGCTCCGACTCCCCACTTGAGGCCTCCCTGGCCTGCCATTGTCCGCCGATTCGACTGCCTCCGGCTCGGCTGCCGATTGCCGCCGAACCGGTTCCTTCCCATCGCCTCTCCTGCAGGAGGCGCTGGGCCGCGCCCAGCGGCTCGAGGCCTCGGCCGCCGCCGCGGCCGCGGCCGTGGAGGCACGGTGCGCGGACCTGGACGGCAGGCTGGAGCGCCAGACGGCGGCCCTCGGCGCGAGCGTGGCGGTGGCCCACTCCCTTCGGGGGAGGCCTTCCTTCCCCATTCGTCCCTCGGGGGCCCCCTAATTAGCGGGGTGGTGACCACACCGTGTGGTGAGTCGGTGGGGATTGTGGGGGTCACCGCGCGGTTTTGGGACTCGGGTCGTTCTCCGAGGACGTCTCGGGCGAGTGGGGTTTCTCCGAGGTCCCAGAACCGTGCGTTGCCGGACCGTGCGGTGAGGTGTTGGGTGATTTCGAGGTCACCGCACGGTCTGTCACCGCACCGTTTCGGGACTGCAAATTCCCTCTCTCCCCTCCCCATACCGCGACCCTGGCCTCGTTCTCCCTTATTGCAAGGGGCCTCCTGGAAGGCCCTCGTCGCTAACGCCGGATTCGCGTCGGGATTCTGGTCAGAACGCACCCCGGGAGAGGTCCAGGGAGTAGCGGCATCGGTCTCGTGTGTTTTCCCCATCCTACCTCCTCTCCTCTTCCTTCAGATGCACCTCCTGGGAGGTCAAATTCTGATTTTGTCTTGGTCCGAAGCCCGGCTTAATCCTGCTTGATCCCGCTTAATCCGGCTTAATCCCGCTTATCCGAAGCCCACTTTGGCATAACAGCCTGGCAATGAGGTTTAATCCTTCTAAATCTTTCCGACGAAGACCTCCCAGCAGTTGCTTCCTAATCTTCCTCCTGAGATGGAAGAGTCCCAGTCATGATGGCGCCGTGGAGAAATCACGACCGTGTTTTCACATCGTCGGCCTCTACGGTCCCTCGCCCGGCCCTGGGACCGTCAAAAGAGGGCCCGGGATGAAACACCGGTCCCGGGCAGAGGGTCGAGACGTCCAGGGGGCCTGTATTGAAAGCATCCGGATGTCTCATGTTTGGGGTCCCTTCCTCTCCCTCGTCCCCCTCTCCGATGAGGGGGCGGGGGACAGGGGGGGGGAACAGCGGGGGGTCAATGGTGTCCGAGCTGGTCGGTGCGCCCTTTGTCTACTGCCAGCGCCCGTGCCTTTCCTCCCGTCGCGACTTCTTCTTGACGCAGGTCCCTGGAGGTCTGGACCGCTCCCCCGAGATCGGTTCTGCATCCCAGGCCTTTTTGTCCGCGGCCTTGTTCCCTGGCGTTGGCTCCGGAGTGAGAAAAGAGCCAGCGATCTTGCGCCGTGAGCTTCTGTCACGACGCGAGTGATTCTGGGTCTGTCTCCTAGGCGGCGACATCCGAGCCCTACCCTCACCGACCATCGATTCTCCTGAATCGCTGGGAGGCGGGGGTGTGGTTCGGATCTTGCCGCGTGTTCGTCAAATTCCGAAACCTACCCCCACCGCACATCGAGTTGCCCGAATCGTTGATCGGCGAGGATAGGGTTCGGATTTCGCTTTTCATCCCGAGTACTTCTGGTGACGGCCCCGAGGCCCAACATCAGGGCCCCCGGAGGCAATGACGACCAAAAGCCTTCCGGGCTCGGATCTCGCCGCCGATCTCCCTCGTCAGGGGCCACATGCGAACCCTACCCCTACACCCCACGATTTCTGAGGGGGATGGTGGGGGTCACTTCATTCGGGAGCTCCCGAGCGAAGTGAACCCCACCCTCCCCCTCAGAAGTCGTGGGGTGTAGGGGTAGGGTTCGCATGTGGCCCCCTACTCGTGCCGAGGTGGCGCTGGCCGGAACCAACGCCACGCTCAAGCAGTCGCTCGCGGAGCTGGACGGCCGGCTCGCGAGGGCGTCCGCCCGCGCCGAGCGCGCGGCGGCGGACCTCGGCGGCAGGCTCGGCGACGGCCTGCGGGAGGCGCAGGAGCTCCGGCTGCGGCCACTGGTCGGCATCGTGTAGCCAACCCCCATCCCCATGCCCATCCCCTTCGCAGGCCAGCCACAACTGGGGGAGCTGTGGTCCTTGCCCCCCTGGGGGACCCATCGATTTCGACACCCCTCTCGAGAGATCGTCGAGGCGATGGATTCCCCCAGGGGGGTAAGGACCACAGCTCCCCCAGTTATGGCTGGTCGGCTTCGAGACCCCGACCAAATCACCACCCCAATTGGGGATACACCCCTCGAAACCCGAAGGCTACGCTGCGCTACACCCGATCGGCCCGAAGGCTACCCTACGCTACATCCCTCGAAACCCGAAGGTTACGCTACGCTACACCCGAAGGCTACGCTACGCCACGCGACACCCCTCGAAACCCGAAGGGAACGACCTATATCCCCATCTAGGGGGGTAAATCGGTCAGTGGGGCCCTGGCCACGCCGCTGGGGATGGGGATCGGTTAAACGGTACTCACCTGGGGGATCCAGGACTCGGCATGCGGAGGTGGCAAGTGATCGTTTTCTTATGCATTGTTTTGCCGGTCGGCGCGGGCCCCAATCCATGGAGTAGATTTTGGCTGCTTTTGGCGCCTGTCTCAAGCAGATGGAACCTCCCTCATAGGACGCACTGTTGCAAGCAGTCGCAGTAAGCAGAGATCCGTAGCCAGACCACCCGCCTCCCCCCTCCCTTCCGCCCAATGTCGAAACGCCGAATAAGACAACGTTCACTCAAGGTACCCATACTGCTACCTTTCTCTCGTTTTTCTCCTTTGTTGGCCTCCTGGGAGGCCCTCGTCGCTACCGCTAGAGTCGCCTCGAAATTCTGGTCAGAACGCACCCTGGGAGAGGTCCGGGGAGTAGCGATATCGGCACCTTTGCTTTCCCTAGTTGCAGCTCCTCCTCCACTTATTCTTCACCACCACTACCATGTGTTGGGGGGGCAGCCACCGATTGTAGTACTACTGGCACAAGTACCTCGCAAGACTGCAGACCTTGGTGCGCAGCAGTGCTCGTCACCTCACGCGCCGCGCGTTGGTGACTGCCGCAGGCCAGCGCCGTCAATTTCAGCGGCCCGCCTGAGGCGGCGGCCGTAGCCAGGCGCCGTGAAGGGCTGCTTGGTCGCGCAGGCAATCCCGGCGTCAGTCGAAGAACAAAGGACGGCATATTGTCGAGATTGATCAATAGGTCGACCCTGCCAAAGCGAGGGTGCCCTGCCAAATCGAAGTTGGCCCGCTAAATCGACTGAAAGATGACGTACACGTACATGAACCCATGTTGGTTTCGAGAGTAGAACTCGCGCGAAAATTTGTATAATGAGGCTGGTCTCGTGGACCCGGGGGCCACATTGATGTACGTGGTTGAGCGCGTACGTCTTCTGTGTGCCCCCTACTCAGCCGAGAAACAAAAGCGGCATACCGACGTAGCCATGATTTCTCGGAGGTCCGCGCGCATTTGTTGGGTCGGCGCTGGGCACCCCTTGCGGCGCCTTTGTTCTCGCCCTTGGCGCGCTCCGCGCGTCAGGGAGGGGGCCCAGCGCCGATCCAAGGCACCTGCGCGGACCTCAGAGAAACGATGTTGATACAGCTTTTTTGTTCCTCTAGGTACGCAGTCAAAGACAGCGTTAAGGATGGGCCCTTTTCGCAGAGGCACCTTGCATCGTTCCGCTTTGGGCATCCTCCTCACGTTTTCGGCTTTCCCGGCCCCAGGGTGCCCATCCCGATGCGTCCTGGCGCGCGGGGTGCAAGGATGTTGCCTGTCTCCTGGCTAGGGTCCCCTGCATCCTCGGGTTGATTTCATGTCGGTGCATTCCACAGGTTTAGCGTCCTTGCAATCCATCCTGACCGCCGATTTTGATTTATACCTCGGAGGCCCCAGCAAGGTGTGATGACTACACCGTGTGGTGGGTCAGTGGGGATCCTGGGTGGCCGCACGTTTTTGGGACTCGGGTCGTTTTCTGGAGAAGTCGTGGGCAACAGGGGCCTCCTAGGAGGTGTCTCGGAATCTCAGAGACGCCGCGCATCTGTCACCACATCGTTTTGGGACCCCAGTGACCAGGAGGCGCAAGTCGTCTTAATCCAGCTAATCCTGTTCAGTAACCCCTGAATCTGGCCAAGCAGCTCCTTATCGGAGGCCCTGTCCTATCCTACCCTCCTCCTTTCGGGGAAACGGAAGACTCGAGTACGCCGGAATTCGGGTGGTTTGCCGCCGCTTTTTGACGAGCGATTCTTAGATTTGACGCTACAGTTTTCGTGGGCTGTCTGCAGCGGGAGCCCGCGTCAAAGTTCAGATTGGGTCTCGTCATTTTCATGATGGCCCCGTCAGGCCAACTCGAGTCCCCCGAACCCGAGTCTTACGTCTCCTCGATCCTTCCGTACGGTCAGACCGAGGTATAAGACCGAGGTCGGTTGGGGGAGGGTGCCCTCATGTTCGTCGTGCCTGTGGGACGTTATTGTAATTCCATCCTGGGGGAGCGGTGATTCCATGTTTCCGGGTGTTTTAGCCGGCGGATGGTCCCATGTTCTTGAAGGATGTTCTTCTATCCCAGGTCCCCTGAGAGCCGAGGTCTCGAAAAATTGAAACACCGGGGAAAAATCACGACTGGAGCCCTGGACCCCACCTTTCTGCGCCACTCTTCGAGCCCGATCTGTCTGTGAGGGCCCCGGGTCCCGAAGCCGGGCGACCACGCCCCGTTCGAAGAGGGCGGAGTCGCTGGGCGGCCGCCCGGCCCGGCAGGAGGCGCTGGCGGCCGCCGACGGCCGCCTCGCCGCCGGGCAGGGCGCGTTGCGCGCGGACCTGGCGGCGCAGGGCGCCGAGCTCGCCCACCAGGCCCGTCGGGCGGGACGCCGGCCTCGTCCCGTCTTGGCATCGCTCGGGCGTGCGCGTTTTTCCTTGGCCTTGGCGTCGCTCGGGCGCGTGGATGTTTCCCCTCGGCGAGGAACATGGAGGAGCATTTGGGATCATCCTGCGAAACATACACGCGCGACATCGAACAGTGCACGGGGAATGGACGTCCGAGCGACGGCGAGCGGCGAGTGCCATCGATCCCGGAGATCCTGGCGACTCCACGTCGTCGTCGCCCAGCTTCGGGCCCCGGGAATCTCACCGATGGATCCGGCCCGAAGAGTGGCACAGAAAAAGGGGCTGGGGCTCCATCGGCGTCACCCCAACATATTTGTACTATATGTGCGTCGCCCCCCCAGGGGCGACGCGCGCACCGAAAAATCTTTTAGTATATGCGTCGTGGCGGGCGCTTTCCGGCCACACCTCTCGGAAAACGAGATACTACAAGATAGGTATACTATGTGTTCGGGTCGGACGCGCGCCTCCAAGAAGGACATATAGTACTGGTATGTCTCTGTGCCTCCCACTCCAGTTGCAATGTTTCGCGATGATGCAATTTTTCGAGACGTCGGATCTCAGGGGTGTGTGAGTGTGTTTCGTCTCGGCGAGGGCCATCGATGAGCGTCTCGGATCATCTCGCGCAAAGATACGGCCGGGCCGAGGTACAAGATCGAGATCGGCTCGGGGAAGATGACCTCACGTGCTTTTCGTGTTTGTTGGATGCTCTTGTACATCCTGGGGGAGGGTACCCTCGAATGCTGTTCATTTTAGCCGGCGGAGGCTCTCATGATCGTGAAGGATGTGCTTCTGTCCTGGGTTCGACCATAAGCGCACGAAGCCGACACATGCGCGGGGATGATGGGCTTCCCAGCGATGGCAAGCTGCGCGCCTGGCCCGATCCTCGAGGATCCTCGAGGATCGGCCTCGAGCTCCGGGCGGGCTGGCAGAGGCCCGGTCAGGCCGCAGAGGGGTCAGCCCGTAAGAACAGGGCGAGGCTGCAGCGCACGGGGCAGAGCGTGCACGTGCGCATGTTGGCGGCGAGCGCGGGGGGGGAAGCGAGAAGCGGGGCAGACGAACGGGTAGCACATGGACGACGGGCGGCGAGCGGCGAGCGGGCCGGACGAACGAGCGGGCCGGACGAAGGGGGGGGGGTCGAAAGCTGTTGCGTGCAGCTGGTTTCCGCCCCACCGCCAGGCCCACTCTTCGACACATGGGCGCCAGGGAAGCCAGCTACGTGAGCTGAATCTCTACCCTGCCCTGTGCTATCCTGCCCTTTTCGTGCCCCCCGAGGGAAGGAGAAGGCCTCTTTGGAAGGCGGCAGGGCTTCTCAGAAGGCCTCCGCGCCCTCTGAGAAGTTTTCTCTGCGTCGTCGGGGAAGGCTTGGAAAGCTTCTCAGAAGGCCAGGGGACTTCTGAACCTATTGAGAAGGCCTTCTCCTTCTCACTTCCCCCCTGGGCTCGCCGCCGAGGGAGGGCAGCAAGGACCGACACACAGCGCTGTTTGTCTCACTGTGAGCCTCGGTTTCGCTGATGTGTCGCTTCGCTGTTCGCTGTTGTCTTGAAGCGCCTCATGCCGCTCTTCGTTTCGTTTGATGCCGGTTTTTTTTTTGGGGGGGGGCGCTCGTTTTAAATGTTGGGTTTGGTTTCGTTCTTCGCTTCCAGCGCAACTTTGATGAAAAACATTGTTGTGGTCGGTCCTTGGAGAGCAAACGTTGTGACTCCGAGGGGGGGAGAGAGGAAAAGTGGGGGCGGGTCTTCACGCATGAATGCAATACACAATACATTAGAACATGAATACTGATCACGCTCCCCTTTGCGATGCCAAGCCGATGGGATACAGTAGGCAGTGCATCGCAGGCGAGTCCTTGAAGGCGGTCGTCCCATCTCGTCGAGGGCGTTCCATTCTTAGGAGCCGGACGTTTTCGCCCGGTTTACGGCCCCAGGACCCTCGCATATCGATCTGACTCAAGCATTGGCGCGCGAACGATGGGGTCCAGGGCTTTGGACGCGATGTCTCACGGTGTTGCTGTTTTTGCCGCATCGTCGGATCTCAGGTGCGGTCCGAAGGGTCGGGGACCGACGGATCTGGTGGGCGATTTGGGGCTGGGCTGGACCTAATTGGTGTTTTTTGGCGATTTTGTGGGCCGTTTTCGTTTCGACTTCGTTTTGGGGTAGAGGTGGATTAAGGACAAAACGAGGGAACACGAAACCCAAACGAAAACGAACAATACCGTTTAGGTTCAGCCCTGATTTGGGGACGTCCTTATCCTCCGAAGGTCTCCGGGCGCCCTCGGAGGCCTCCGGGAGCCTCAGGGGGCCCCTGGAGGCCCGAGGGACTTCGCAGGCGTCCTTCCTCCCATCAGGCCTTCGGGCCGACCCTTCTGTGCAACCAGGCTGGTCCTCGGAAGTGGGATCGCCACGAAGCAAACGGGTCCTCATGACCCGATTCCCTCTGGGCCCGCTTCCCTCAGGACCCCGTGGAGGTGGCCGATCCT